TTTTGGTTTTTTGAGACAGGGTTTCTCTGTGTAGTTTTGGAGCCTATCCTGGCACTCGCTCTGGAGACCAGGCTGGCCTCGAACTCACAAAGATCTGCCTGCCTCTGCCTCCCGCCTCCCGAGTGCTGGGATTAAAGGCATGCGCCACCAACGCCCAGCATCAACTAGTACTCTTAACTGCTGAACCAGCCTCCAAATATATATTATATGAGACAACTATAAATGTTCATCTCGCTTTGATTTGGTACTGAAGTCCCATTATAAATTGGAGGTGCTCTGGGACAGACATCCATGAGAAAGGAACATTATCTCACATAAATATACACAAGGTCAAATGCCTCTACTGAGGCTTCCAGAATCTTTTATTTCTGTTTCCTTTCTGGTCTAAGCATTATAGCATCTTTTCCTGGGAAGGAAGCAATCATAACGAGCCTGTTAAGGTTCATTTATTCCCTGAATTTCCCTGACCCACAGAAACCCAAGCATGCAACTTGAAAGAAAACCTGGCAAGCTGCAAGTTTGTTAGTATCCGTAGATGAAGGATAAGATCTGCTTAAAGACAGGATCCAACTACTTACTGAACCACCAGGACTATTTAACCTGCATTTAGCATCCCTGCTTCTAAGTTGGCGGTGTAAACGTGAGACAGCCCATGAAGTCATCACTTAGACACGGGGTAATTATGGGCGCTATTTTATGTACCTGGAAGAACCATGGAGGGCTGAAAGGAGTACTTAGTGTCATTCCTGCTGCTTATTGACAGAAATTAAACCCATTACTGTCCTGTTAGTCCAGGTTGGAGAGCCAGAGAACACATTGTTTTAATTATACTTAACTACAGCTCATCTGGGGGTTCAGCAGAAAAGCAAGCTGCTGAACCACAGTGCCATCTGGTGGCCACGGGATTAATGTGTTCAAGAGTGTGATAAATACTAGAAGCTTGCAAAGGATGTACTTGATAGGCTACTATTTATGTTGAGGATGTTCACAAATTCCTTTGAGACTCTGAACAGAGTGTAACTGGTCTGTAAGGGGGCTGCTACATATTAGATGCTGTGGTGGTTTGAATGAAAATGGCCCCCCAAAGGCCATAGGCGTGGCACTATTAGGAGGCATGGCCTTGTTGGAAGAGGTGTGACTTTGTTGGAGGAGGTGTGTCACTAGGGAGTGGGCTTTAAGGTCTCAGAAGCTCAAGCCTGGCCAGTGTCATTGTTACTCCCTGCTGCCTTCAGATCCAGATGTAGAACTAGCAGCTACCTCTCCAGCAGCACATCTGCCGCCGCCATGCTTCCTGTCATGGTGATAACGGACTAAACATCTGAACTGTGAGGCAGCAACAATGAAATGTTTTCCTTTGTAAGAGTTGCCATGGTCATGGTGTCTCCTCACAGCAACAGAAACCCTAAGAAGTCCTCTTTCACACAATATTAATAGCTAGGATTGGAAGAGTCACTTGGAAATGTTCTTTGTTTTTTTCCTGGTGCTGTTGGTCCTAATGCTAATGCTCAGCTAGCTTCCAGGGCAAGAAGCAGGACACTGGCTGCGGAGTGTTTTGGCCATAGCAGCCGGGACCTTCCCTCCTCAGCAGCCCCAACCCACCCCAGTGCTCTCTCTTACCTTTTGCCTCATACTCCTCACTGTGCTGCGTCTTCCAGTGCTGAGGAAGGCAAGAGACAATTAGTGTACATTTGAACCCAGCTTCCAGACCAATTACTCTCTGGCTCTAAAATCAGACTGTGGGCTGGTCACGTGACTTTAGCCTTTGTACCTCTGTGGGCTCTTTTTAGTTAACCAGACAAACCAATCAAGAGGTTGAAACCACTCAACGGTGGTAGTGCCCACCTTTAATCCCAGCAGAGGTAGGTGGATCTCTGTGAGTTCAAGGCCAGCCTGGTCTTCAGAGATGGCTAGCACTGTTATACAGTGAACCCCTGTCTCAAAAAACCAAAAAAACAAAAGAAAAAAAAAGCCAAACAAACAAACAAACAAAAAGAGGTTGAAACCTCTTTAAATAGACTGTTCTTTGCAGACTTTGCCAGCACTGGCACAAAGTGCTGTCTTTGCAGGTCACTAGGGCGTTGTCATTTTCAACGTTACTTCAACAACACAACCTATTACAGCCCATTGAACCACCGCAAGTAAACATTCAGGGTTTACCAACCAGCAAATTTTTGTTCTTCAGTAAGTACATACTGGGCACTCACCTACATGCTACGTCTTGGGAGTACAACTAAGAGCAGAACACACATATTTGTTGTCTAAAAAAATACATATATGGAAGAGGGGGCAGAAAGATTGTTGGAGCCAGAGCATCCAAGAGTTTCCTGTGAGATTGCGTCTCCTAGTAATGTCAGAAGCTACACCCATTGAGTCTCACCAATATGATTGCCTAAAGATGAGAGGAGCAAGGAGGACACCAATGGGCATGCCAAAGTGGGTGGGGCCGCAACCCTACACAAAGAACTGCAGACAACTATGGAATGCTGAGAACAGAAGAAAATACTTCCCCAGGAAAGAGCACACCAAGCGGTTACCCAACACCTGAAAATACACATATGAGTAACAGTCTATAGACTGGGCAGGTTACAATTAGAATATCTATGAATAGATATTGATATATGCATGGAACGATAACTAATGGAAGAGACCATGCATGAATTTAGAGAACAAGGGGGTACGGTATAATGGGAGGGCTTGGAGTGAGAAAAGGGAAGGGAGAAATGTAATGATATTACAATCTCAAAAGGCACATATACTAATGAAGGCACAGGGACCAGAAAAGGAGGAAGATGTGATGGTTCTGGAGTCAGACTTGGAAGATGAGGGTGGACTTCCTAAAAGCAGCAATGGCTAAACTGAGCCCTGAGGGTCACCTGCACCAGAGAGCAAAGGGAACTAGAGGAGTCATTAATATTTGCTGAAGTAAGAACAAGTCTGGTGTGCTTATCGATGAGAGCAGATACAGACGCAGTCCACACAGTTAGACTGGAAAGTTGAATGTGACAGGAATTTACCTGAATAGACTGCTATAGCCCCTTCTTATGCTAAGGCTCCAGGGAGCCTCCTCCGAGGTCAGATCATGTGGATTTTGTACTGGTAACCACCCGTTCACCCCAAGTCAGGGTCAAATCCAGCCCCTGCTCCACTGGCCAAGTTCTGTGTCAATCATCCTTGGACCAGCTGTCACATGTAGTTCCTCAGCAGCTTTGGTTGTCCTGCAAATGGTTTGGGTTTCTCAATCAAGCTGCCTCTTGCTTGCATCCCACAGGGAGGTTCTACACGGGGGAGGGAAGTCCAGCTGAGAAAAGAGGCCTCATTTTTTCAGAACTAGGCTGCTATCTTAGCAAACAACTGTAATCCACAGATGTGGTGGCCCATGCCTATAAATGCTAGCACTCAGGAGGCAGAAATAAGTTTTGTGTAAGCCTAGGCTTCGTATTAGCTACAGGAAGACTGGTCTATTTGGGAGGACAGTGAGAGGGGCAAATAAGAGCAAAGCATAATGATGTATATGAATGGAACCCATTTCTTTGTAAACCAGACAAAAAAACAAATTAAAAAATTAAAGGGGGTAGAAAACCAGATACGATTTTATGAATAAAGTTGCCTTTTATACCAAGTAACCAGCCTGTTCTCTGGGATGATTGATCTGCAAAATGCTAGTTGATTTTAGACTCCTAAAATAAACACAGCAGGAAGATGGGCCCAATTAACTCCTGTCTGAGGAGACTGGATTCCTCACGGCAGATGGTGTGTCACGCAAAATGCTTACATCAAACATCGTCTTTCAGTAGTTCAAGTTGACATGACTTAACATTCTTGTAGGCAACCTCGACACGTCTACTCCATTCCCCACACTCACTCATTGTTTTAGTCACCTGAAAGAATCCACTTAAGGATGGAAGGGTTTGTTTCAACCGACAGCTCCAGGTGGTACAGTCCATCAAAGAAGGGAATGTATGACACAGGAAACAGCCAGACACACTGTGTTCCCAGTCAGGAAGCAGGGAGCAATGGATGCTTCAGTTCATGCCACGGTCCCGCTCATGGAATGGGGCTGCCCACAGTTAATGTAGATCCCCCCACTTTAAATAACCTGATCTAGATATCCCTCATGGGTATGCCCACAGGCTTGTCTCCAAGTGATTCTAGATCCCATCAAGTCATCAATATTAACCATTACACTCATGGTAGTTATCGCCTCTTCATTGAGGGACAAGTGTCTACTAAGATTCACAACTCTGCATTTCATAGAGATCCTAAAGATGCCACAGACTTGTAGTGAGATATCCACCCTGCCCTCACCTGGAGCGTTGACACACAGGTGCGCATGTGAAGGAGAGTGAGTTTAAGGTCTGGGGTTGGGGCAAGTGGCTCTCTCTTGCATCCGGTCAGATCACAGGGAACAGCCTGTGCGAATCCTGAGAGCCAGAACCTGTGGCGGCCATCTGCTTTTCGTGTAAGTGACTTCTCCCCAAAATAAATTATATTTAACCTATATTTGAGCCTAGTCCTATGAGTTATTATCAGTGCCTCCGCACAGACTCAGCTAAGCTGAAACCTCAAAGTGAAATCCTGAAACAACATTCTTACTAAGCTGAAGACTGCCAAAGGCCATGTCTTAGGATAAGTAAGTAATCTGTAGCCCATTAAGACCATAACTGAAAGTGACTAATGGACAAGGTATCGCTGGGATGAACTGGTGGGGCAGGTGACTTCTCCTTGTTTTCTTGTGGTTATAATTTCATCAGCTCATTTGCCTACACTTCTAGATAAAGATGGAGCTCTGAGCTGGTAGAAGTGTGTGGCCTGGAAGCAGGGAGTAGCAGTCAACAGTCCATGGATGTCCTCACTTTCTGATCAGAATTAGACTGCTACTATATATAAAGTTTCAAATCGGTAGAGGAAGGCCCACTAATAAAAAGTGTCCTGCCTCCCAACAGACTGGGTCAAATGCTCACTTTATTTGGCACCTGAAATTATGCAAATTCACTAGTCAGCATCTAAGTATCCAAAACTCAAACCCACTAAATCAACCTACAATATATTAAATGAAGTTTATGACCTCTGACCCATGGGTTCAAATGGAACTACAAGTTGTTCATGACTTTTTTAAGCAGTAGACACTGATGGGGGAAACATTTTCATTGAGCTCAAACCATAAAAAGCCTCTGCAGGGATACAGCATCTTAGAACAAAAACGAAACAGCAACACCCAGCTTCAGAAAGTCTTTGGCAACAATCTCTAAGGTGACAGGTCTCTCACATTTGCTCATGTATTTCCCCATGCATGTTACAATAATGAGAGAAAGCATTTGAAGAACAAAGACCCTCCCACAGTTTCTAATGTTTCACATGTTGACAGTCAGGGTAGCTGTTTCCACCACTTGTCCATCACTGTTCAGGATAGCCCCTGCCTGCTCATTTCTTTCTCCATTTCTCACCCTAACTACTGGAAGGCTCAATATGGAGGCTAGTGCACAGATTTGGGGGCAGACTGCCTGGTAGTGAATCCCAACTTACTGTGATGTTAACCCTATGTAAGTTGCTTGCCCTCTTTGGCCTTAGTTTATCTATCTGTAAAATGGGGGAAAAAAGAAGTAGTCTGAATTTACTGAGGGAAATGCCAAGTACTTAGCATTGTGGCTGGCACATAAGCACTATAAAGTCTTGTTAGTTTTGCGGGGGACCTCTGTATGCAATACATATTAAATTTGTGTTTGTGGAATTCTTTTCATGTGTGTATGCAAAATCAAATCATTCATTTGGGTATATCTCTGTGCCTTTTTCAAAAGGGATTACATATATGAGTTACAGGCAGTTATCAGCAGCCTGACACGGTTGCCATGAACTGAATTGACAGTGGGCTAGGGGGTGGGAGTGTTCTCTGCAAGAACAGAACTCTAACCACTGAGTGCCAGCAGAGATGCTCAGGATACAGATGGCAACTCACCTCAGCACCACCTCACAACAGAATGGTTCACTCAATACCACACAAGGTCACAGGAGCTAAAACTGAGCTCATAATCATCATTACTGAACTGTTATTATTGAATTGTCTAAGTATTTAAGTTATAGCTCCCATTCCCACCAAGACTGTAGTCTGAAGCAGGCCTGTTTATGTGTGACAGGCAGCAATGTTCACAGAAATTATATTTTCATAATGAAAATGGCATTATGTACCAAAATAAATATATACACACTTCTCAACCCAATAATTTAATTTGCTATCTAAAGGAAATTAAAAAAAAAACAGAAAGAGGAAGCTATGTGCACAAATATGCATATTGAGGTACTTTTATAACAATAAAGTACTTAAAATGACTTAAATATTCAACAATGGGGCATAAAGTATAATGATACAACATTATGTAGTCACTAAAAGCAATTAAAAAACAATGTAGAAACATGGAAAAACATTTTAATAAATATTAAATGAAAAAGCATAACAAAAAATGTAATCTATGCTATGATTATTGCTGGCAGCAAATATTTATATAACCAGACAAAGACCTGAAGGAAATAGATAATAAAAACAAGACACATTTTAGTTGAGGGGAAAAACACGTTTTAGTAGGAGGAAAAACTCTATTCTCCCCACTGTTATAAATGATCTTCTGTAGTATTAACCCATTGAGTCTCACTGTTCCTTGTCAC